GGGCTTTTGTAAACAAGTGGCCATTTTTGCGGCGCCGGCACACCGGGTTCTAATCCCGGTCGGGGCACCGGATTCTGTCCCGGTTGCCCCTCTTCCAGGCCAGCTCTCTGCTCTGGCCAGGGAGTGCAGTGGAGGATGGCCCAAGTGCTTGGGCCCTGCACCCCATGGGAGACCAGGAAAAGTGCCTGGCTCCTGCCATTGGATCAGCGCGGTGCGTCGGCTGCAGCGCGCCAGCCGCGGCGGCCATTAGAGGGTGAACCAACGGCAAAGGAAGACCTTTCTCTCTGTCTCTCTCTCTCTCACACTGTCCACTCTCTGTTTCTCTCTCTCTCTCTCTCTTTCTTTCTCTTTTTCTGTGTGAGTTTGTGGTAAAGGTTTTTTTTTTTAATATAATTTTTTATTTGAAAGGCATAGTAACAGAGAGAGAGAGACATCTTCCATCTGCTGGTTCACTCCCCAGATGGCCACAAATGCCAGGGCTGAGCCAGGCTGACGCCAGGAACCAGGAGCCTCTTCCGGGTCTCCCACGTGAGTACAGGGTCCCAATTACTCGGGCCAGTCTCTGCTGCTTTCCCAGGCCTATCAGCAGGGAGCTGGATGGGAATTGGAGCAGGCTGGTCTTGAATCGGTTCCCATTTTGGAATGCTGGCACTTGCAGGGAGCTTATTCGCTATGCCACAGCTTTAGCCCCTGAGGGAGGTTCAAGATCACTCAGTAGAGAAGCCTTGGATCTTCTTGTTGAATTTAAATGTACGTGCCATCTTGGTTAGAAAACATGGCTTATGAACACCACTATAAGGGCAGCAATCATGGTTGTTCTAAGATTAGTAGATTTAGTGGAGGATTCGCTGCCAGAGACTATCGACAGCCGTAGTGCCGGTAGCGCAAGCTTCAGTAGCAGCTGCCGAGCAGCAGACGAAGTGGTGGAGGTGGCCATGGAGGCAGCAGAGGACTTCGTGGAGTTGACTATGGAGGCTTTTACAACAGTGATGGATATGGAGGAAATTTTAACTTCCAGGGAGTTGACTGATGGGGTAACTGAGCCTGCTTTGCAGTAGGTCACCCTGCCAAGCAAGCGAATATGGAAACTACATATAACTTAGCCAGCCTATACCTTCTGTAGCTTCAAGAACTCATAGTACATTACCAGCTGTGATTCCTCACTGCATTTTTTTTTTTTTTGAAAAAAATTTTTGAGTAGCTCAAGGTCACAGGAAAAGATGAAAGGAACAATCAGCAGCACCGTTTGGAAGGTAGTTTGACGACTTCATTGCTGTAGTTTGGATTAACTCCCTTCCCATCTACCCCCATCCCAAACTGCTTTTATAATTTTGTGACTGAGGATCATTTGTTTGTTAATGTATTGTGCACTCCCGGGCCATAGCAGAGAGCTGGCCTGGAAGGGGGGCAACCGGGACAGAATCCGGCGCCCTGACCGGGACTAGAACCCGGAGTGCCGGCGCCGCTAGGTGGAGGATTAGCCTATTGAGCCGCGGCGCCGGCCTTGTGCCTTTAACTTTAGACAGCTTTTTATTTTGATGTCCTGTTGGCTCAGTAATGCTCAAGATATCAATCATTTTGACAAAATAAATTACTGAACTTGGGCTAAAATCAAATTATTCTGGGGGCCGGTGCTGTGGCGCAGCAGGTTAAAGCCCTGACCTGAAGCGCTGGCATCCCATTTTGGCGCTGGTTCTAGTCTGGCTGCTAATCTTCTGATCCAGCTCTCTGCTATGGCCTGGGACAGCACTAGAAGATGGTCTAAGTCCTTGGGCCCCTGCACCCACGTGGGAGACCCAGAAGAAACTCCTGACTCCTGCCCTGGTTCTTAACTTTTAGCCCATGATTAGAATCATGTGGGGGCTTGTTAACCCTTCCCCCTACCTCAGAATTTTTGCTTCAGCTGGTGTGGGTGGGCTTTAAGGAGTTTGAGTCTAACAATCACAGGTGATGCTCATGCTGCTGACCAGCCCGACATTGAATCTGGCTGCTCTGGGTCCTTACTTGTCCCTGGTGTATAGGCATGGCCGCGCCTCAACGTGATGCAGAAGCCCAGGTGATGCAGTGCCCTTTGCATCAGGGTGGGTCTGGGTGAGTCTGGAGGTATCCCTGTGTTTCTCGTGTACAAGTGATCTAGTACCTGTCCTGAGGATCCATCATTGCTTTCATCATCAGAACTCCTGTCTAAGATTGGATTGAGGACCAAAATATGCAAGTTAATTTCCTTTCTTCAGTAGGATCCTTTTGATTTCTGTAGGGTTTGCTCCCAGGGTAACCCCATTTGCTTGCAGCTCACCAAGTATGTGGTCCTGTTCTGAATGCGAGGCACAGTGTTATGCACTGACCATCAGCATGAGGATTGCAGGACTCATTGCAAAGTGAGAACCCTGGGCTCCTTGTTCAAACAGGTTTCTGAATTGCAGTCATGACAGTAGCATATCAGCCCATCACTCCCAATGTAAGTGCCTTGTGAATGACAGGCCCTGAGTGGTCCTCTTCCTGGATCAGAAGATTAGCAGCCAGACTAGAACCAGCGCCAAAATGGGATGCCAGCGCTTCAGGTCAGGGCTTTAACCTGCTGCGCCACAGCACCGGCCCCCAGAATAATTTGATTTTAGCCCAAGTTCAGTAATTTATTTTGTCAAAATGATTGATATCTTGAGCATTACTGAGCCAACAGGACATCAAAATAAAAAGCTGTCTAAAGTTAAAGGCACAAGGCCGGCGCCGCGGCTCAATAGGCTAATCCTCCACCTAGCGGCGCCGGCACTCCGGGTTCTAGTCCCGGTCAGGGCGCCGGATTCTGTCCCGGTTGCCCCCCTTCCAGGCCAGCTCTCTGCTATGGCCCGGGAGTGCACAATACATTAACAAACAAATGATCCTCAGTCACAAAATTATAAAAGCAGTTTGGGATGGGGGTAGATGGGAAGGGAGTTAATCCAAACTACAGCAATGAAGTCGTCAAACTACCTTCCAAACGGTGCTGCTGATTGTTCCTTTCATCTTTTCCTGTGACCTTGAGCTACTCAAAAATTTTTTTCAAAAAAAAAAAAAATGCAGTGAGGAATCACAGCTGGTAATGTACTATGAGTTCTTGAAGCTACAGAAGGTATAGGCTGGCTAAGTTATATGTAGTTTCCATATTCGCTTGCTTGGCAGGGTGACCTACTGCAAAGCAGGCTCAGTTACCCCATCAGTCAACTCCCTGGAAGTTAAAATTTCCTCCATATCCATCACTGTTGTAAAAGCCTCCATAGTCAACTCCACGAAGTCCTCTGCTGCCTCCATGGCCACCTCCACCACTTCGTCTGCTGCTCGGCAGCTGCTACTGAAGCTTGCGCTACCGGCACTACGGCTGTCGATAGTCTCTGGCAGCGAATCCTCCACTAAATCTACTAATCTTAGAACAACCATGATTGCTGCCCTTATAGTGGTGTTCATAAGCCATGTTTTCTAACCAAGATGGCACGTACATTTAAATTCAACAAGAAGATCCAAGGCTTCTCTACTGAGTGATCTTGAACCTCCCTCAGGGGCTAAAGCTGTGGCATAGCGAATAAGCTCCCTGCAAGTGCCAGCATTCCAAAATGGGAACCGATTCAAGACCAGCCTGCTCCAATTCCCATCCAGCTCCCTGCTGATAGGCCTGGGAAAGCAGCAGAGACTGGCCCGAGTAATTGGGACCCTGTACTCACGTGGGAGACCCGGAAGAGGCTCCTGGTTCCTGGCGTCAGCCTGGCTCAGCCCTGGCATTTGTGGCCATCTGGGGAGTGAACCAGCAGATGGAAGATGTCTCTCTCTCTCTGTTACTATGCCTTTCAAATAAAAAATTATATTAAAAAAAAAAACCTTTACCTCAAACTGACATCTAATAAAAATGGCCACTTGTTGTTGTTGTTGTTGTTTTTGACAGGCAGAGTGGACAGTGTGAGAGAGAGAGAGACAGAGAGAAAGGTCTTCCTTTGCCGTTGGTTCACCCTCTAATGGCCGCCGCGGCTGGCGCGCTGCAGCCGACGCACCGCGCTGATCCAATGGCAGGAGCCAGGCACTTTTCCTGGTCTCCCATGGGGTGCAGGGCCCAAGCACTTGGGCCATCCTCCACTGCACTCCCTGGCCAGAGCAGAGAGCTGGCCTGGAAGAGGGGCAACCGGGACAGAATCCGGTGCCCCGACCGGGATTAGAACCCGGTGTGCCGGCGCCGCAAAAATGGCCACTTGTTTACAAAAGCCCTGCCCAGAGGTTAATGGCCAAGAAATCAGATGAATACGTTAGTGTAGAACAGAGCAGGGAAAATGAAAGCATTACAGGTATCTACAAAAAAATGTAGGCCTGAAGCGGAAGTGGCAAAGTGAAATTGACACTTCGAGAAGCGTGACTTTGAACGGCCCTTGACCAACTGATGAGGAGCAGGTTTTTTTCCCCTCATACTATTTGTTGAACTGTTTACTTAGCATAGAGGTAATCGTATGTGTGTAAAGTTAATTGAAAATAGATCTTAGTCAAAACTAAGAATGGGAATAGGAGAGGGAGGAGGAAGAAGGGTGGGAGTGCAGGTGGGAGGGAGGGTACGGTGGGAAGAATCTCTATGTTCCTAAAGTTGTATTTATGAAAGGCGTGAAGTTTATATACCTTAAATAAAAGGATTCGGGGCTGGGGGGAGAAAAGAGGAAGTGGCAGGATACTATGTGGCACACGGTAGAATTTATGGCGATGTCTGAAGTCAGGCGGCACCGGGCCACCTCCGGAAGGGAAGAGGCACACGTGTTGCGACGGCACGGGAGCAGGGAGGACATGAGAGAAACACCACATTCAGGGCGAGGGCTAGTCGACTGCCAGGGGAGGGGTGGATGGAAGGAATCGGGAGGTGCTATGGCCAGCACTGGCCACTTGTCCTTCATCCACGAGGTGCAGGGTCCACAGTAGGTTCTGGCGCTCTGCATCCTTTGGTCATATTCCTGGAGGTGGAACTGTAGAGCCTGGTTCGGGGTGGTGTCCACAGCAGCCGGAGGGAATCCAGCAAGCACTAGGGCTCCGTCTCGTCCCGCCCCGCTCCGCCCCCAGCACGTGCACTGTGCCAGCCAATCGGCGAGGAGCCCACCCTGGCTCACGTTCGTTCGCGCGCTGGCAGCGCTCATTCCTCAGAGCCTCGCAGGGGTGCCGAGCGTGCGGAGGTCTTGTGAGGGGGTTGGGGGAGGGGAATCCTCAGGTGAGGCACCAGAGTTGCCGGAGCGGGGTCAGCGTCGCTCTGTGGCCTGGGGGGCCGAGGGTGTCGAAGGCGGGGAGGGTCCTGGCTGCCCTCTGAGGTAAAATCCTCGAGGCGTCCACTGAGGACCAGGACGGAGGAGGCTCGGCGCTGAGGGGAAGGAACCCCAGAGGGTGGGCCCGACTGGGATCAGGAGGCAGATCTAGGGCTACCCAGGCACTGAGAGGGCTCCGCACGGGGTATGTGGGAAAGGGGACATCGGGGCTGTCCGTGTCTGTCCCTCCTGTCAGGTCGCCGATCAGGCCTGGTCGCATGGCAGACACCTCAAGCGCTTAGGGGGCGTCCGGGACGGCGGGTGCTCAGTCCCCTGGCTAGACTGCCCAGGCCGGGCGCGGAGTAGTTCTTTCCCATCGAATTGTCCGGAAAAGTGACTGTGTCATTCTGTGATGGGTCCTGTGGACCAGCACGGGGCCACGTGGGGACTGAGGGGCAGAGCTGAGCTTTCTTCCCGCCAGAGCAGCAGGAACCCGGCAGAGGGGACTCCAGTCCGGGTGTGCGGGCTGCAGCCAGCGCTGGGGCCGGGCCGGGTCGGGAGGGACTGGGACGCGCCTCACCGCGCCGTGCCGCGCCGTGCCGCGCCACGCCACGCCACGCCACGCCACGCCACGCCGCGCCACGCCGCGCCGCGCCGCGCCGCGCCGCTGCCCTTCTCTTCCGTGTTTCTTCTATGGGCGCTGCAGCCGCACTGGTCTAGAACCCGGAGAAACGCGCTCACTGACTCTTGTTTAACTCGTCCCCACTTCTTTAGAGTGTCTTTGCGCTCACAAGGTTCAGGAGGCATCCGGAGCGTGCGAAGACATGCCGCCCGCGACAGTCAGGCGCATCAAGACGGGTTCCAAGGCTCCGCCTGAGGCGCAGCGTATGGCACCCCCTGACATGGGGCGCCCAGGTAAAAACGGTCCCGGTCGGAGAGGGGCCTGGAAGAAGGTGCCTGCCCGAGGGAAGGGGCTGACTCATCTCATGGCAGCTGGGGCACGCGAGTAGCCTCGGTCCTTGGTTCATCGCTCTGGGCTCCATGACTTTTCAAACCCGAGTTTGAGTGTTTCCTTCCCTCCCTCCAGGCTCCCTCCCTCCCACCCTCTCCCGCTTCCTTCCTTTCTTTTTCCTTCAAGATTCTATTTACTTAGTTGAAAGGCAGAGTTACAGAGAGAGATGGGTGAGACAGAGAGAGAGAGAAAGAAAGAGAGAGAGATCTTCCACCTGCTGTTTCACTCCCCAAATGGCCCCCGCGGCCAGGGCTGGGCCAGGAGCCTGGAACTCCATCAGGGGCCCCGACGGGGTGCAGAGGTCCAAACACCTGGGCCATCCTCCGCTGCTTAGGGAGCTGGATCGCAAGTGGGTCCCCCCTATGGGATGCCCGTGCCCCAGGCGGCGGCTTAACCTGCTGCCCCACGGGACTGCCCCCACACTCCCACCCCCACCCCCACCCCGCACTATGTTTCTAGAGGGCATCCTGCGCTTTCAGCGCTCCATTTGATGCTCCCACTCCATCGAAGGGTTACAGAGGGTCACACTGCTGCCTTTCTGTAGGCATGCAGTCTTCATTTCCAAAATACCTGATCTCTAGCTTGTGGTTCTGCATGACTTGGACCTCAAAGCGCTTGAGAAAATGCCTCCATAAAATGATCTCGGTTGCTGATCAAATTTTCTCTGACCTGTATATTAATGATTCCATGGGGACCGGTGCTGTGGTGTAGCGGATAATGCCGCTGCCCTGCAGTGCCGGTATCCCACGTGGACGCAGGTTCGGGTTGGGCTGCTCCACTTCGGATCCAGCTCTCTGCTGTGCCCCGGGAAGGCAGTGGAGGATGGCCCAGGTCCTTGGGCCTCTGCACTTGCGAGCGAGATCCACAAGAAGCTCCTGGCTTTGGATAGGCCCAGCTCCAGCCGCTGCGGCCATTTGGGGAGTGAACCAGCAGATGGAAGACGACACCACCACCCCCCCCCCAACAAACGAATAAATCTTTTAAAGAAATGATTCCACGTTTACATCCACTTTAAGAACTTGATGGCAAAGAGCCCAAGGAAGTCCACAATGAAGCTCTTTCTCCAGGATAAGTGATCGAGACAGTTTTCTTTTTAAGAAATGTTTTTCATTTGTATTTTCAATGCAGAAAACAACCCAAGACTGTATAATCACCAGAATCACCCATTTGCAGCGATAATTAGTGAAGATACGAGGTAGTACCTTTAAAGTAATTTTATTGTCTGCGGATAGCATCCTTAAAATAGACTTTGGCTCACATAGCATGTATTGTGTGTACCACACTGAGCTAAAGATATGTATTCCAAAACAAGAACAAGCTTGATATTTTACTAGAAAACTGATGTAATTTCTTCACAGGAACCAGCTCCAGAATATGCTGGAAAGCTATGAAGGTATGTGTGTTTTAGGAGATAGTTGTAGTTAGGAAAAATGTTTTGTACCATGTAACTTTTATAACAAGAACTGCTAGTCAATGGACTACAACATGGTTATCTAATGCCTTGTTCTAGTGAGCAGCCTGGTCTGTGAGTACTTAGCGTGATTCTGCTCATACCTTTCCTTACTAGTTTTCATTCTAGATGTGAACAATGAGCGTGGAACTAACAGTGGCGAGGGAAGGATGGTGCTTTTATTTTGTGCGTGTACACGATGGAGTAAGAGGAGCAAATGGGGATGAACCGATATGACTGATTGCTCTTTGGGTCACCGAGTCTCAGAGCAGTTTTTGATATCGGTTTTCTGGTTTAGCATTTTCATCATTTCCTGTGACTTTCCCATTTCCTGTATTTGAAGGGGGTAGTGCAAATTGAAGCTTCGGAAATAGCCCCTGGTAGTTTTTATATTTATATTAATAAGCCGCAGTGGAGAACGAAATACAACTTTGCTGGCATGTTTTGAGTGGATAAGTCGGCTCTCAGTAAAAGTAGCTTGTTGAAGGATGAACTGTCAACAGGCTCAAGTGTCGATTTCTCTATGATTCCTATAAGCAGGTATGTTTTGAAAGCTTTGCTCTATTTGGTGGTGACAGCTGGCTTGATTGATGAACTGTCTTATAAATTGATTATCGAGCTAGTAAAGTGGATTTATAAAACACCTGTACAATAGTGCAGCTCCATCGTGATTACTGGCAAATACCTGTAGACTCGTATGCTTAGCAAAGAATTATCTGACCTACCGAAAACTTTATACAGTGCACCTTTTTTTTTTGGTGAGTATGATACGAGTCTAAAAAACTTCCACGTAAGTATCAAAAAGGTGTTGTTGGATGAATTTTTTATTTTCATAAAGTACCAGTGGTCTTTATCTTAGTCAAGTTTAATTAAAAGTCTCACATGTTAACAATTCTTTTCCTTTTTTTTTTTTTTTTGACAACATTGCTTGTACCTATCTAGACACAGTTGAATTAAAATGCATTTCCACTGTATGTAATGAGTTCTACCACTACCAGTAATCCCTCCAAATGTGTCCTTTGAGTTGGGGGTTCCTTTGCAAATGGATTGAAAAATAGCTATGATAATGTTTTCTCATGAAGAAATGAAAGGGTCCTTTGACAGCATTTTCATACTATTTGAAAAATTGTAACTTTTGTTTCTTAGCTATGTTTTCTTTGTTTTGTTTTGTTTTGTTTTTGACAGGCAGAGTGGACAGTGAGAGAGAGAGACAGAGAGAAAGGTCTTCCTTTGCCGTTGGTTCACCCTCCAATGGCCGCCGCGGCGGGCGCGCTGAGGCCAGCGCACCGCACTGATCCGATGGCAGGAGCCAGGCACTTCTCCTGGTCTCCCATGGGGTGCAGGGCCCAAGGACTTGGGCCATCCTCCACTGCACTCCCTGGCCAGAGCAGAGAGCTGGCCTGGAAGAGGGGCAACCAGGACAGAATCCGGAACCCCGACCGGGACTAGAATCCGGTGTGCCGGTGCCACAAGGCGGAGGATCAGCCTAGTGAGCCGCGCCGCCGCCCTTCTTAGCTATGTTTCATCCTAAATGAAGCAGTGATGTGCAGATAGCAGATTTTGAAATGGAGTACTAATAACTGAAAGTTTTCTCAGGAGAAAAAGGAAGCAGTTCATCTTGGTTTTTGCAGTGATGCCTACCTGTTAATGCTAAGTGTCTTTTCAGTACTGCCCAACCACGTTGTCCACGGTGACTTGATTATATGGGCAGAAAATAATTTTCAATGATAAATTTTAACGAGTATATACTTTCAATATAGGGAGGATTAAAAGGGTCATATATAGGAAGAAACAGCTATTCAGAAGGAGTGTCAATGCTTCTCTCAGAAACATTGAGCGGATAATTGTGGATTCTTGGAAAACCAGGACAGAGCAAAGGTGAGTCTGTTAATATTTCAAATCCAGAGCCTTTGTATCATTTCATGGTATGCATGGATACCAATTACTTAAGAAACTCTGTTCTGCTTATCTGAGGTTGAATAGAAACATATATTTGGCTTGAGTTTCCTCTCAGGAAATCCAAGGGTGCTTCACAAAGTTAGTAGAAAATGGAAATAAAAAGATCAATTTATTTCGGTGGAAAACCTCAAAATCTATGCATATGGGGAGTTTTCAAAAAGTCTGTAAAGTGCATAGTATGAAAAACCTATTTAAAAAGCTTTTCGTACCAAAAGAAACATCTTTTAATTCAACATTCCATGAACTTTTCAAAATACTCTCTTACTTTAGTTCTGTAACCCCAGACCATAAGTGAATCCAGACAGAGACTCTAGAGGACCATAAAAATGACCTTCTTGTTCATTCAACTTACATTTGAATGTTTTCTTTTTTCAAAGATTTATTTGTTTATTTGGGAGGCAGAGTGACAGAGAGGGAAAGACAGAGAGGGAGAGAGATCTTCCATTGTGCTGGTTCAGTCACAAGTGACCCCAAGGGCCAGGGCTGGATCAGGCTTAAGCCAGGTGCCAGGAGCTTCTTCTGGGTCTCCCACCTGAGTGCAAGGGCCCAAGGACTTGAGCCATCTTCCACTGCTTTCTCTGGCCATAGCAGAGAGCTGGACCAGAAGTGGAGCAGCCAAGACTGGAACCGGCACCCTGGCACTGAAGGCGTAGCCTAACCCGCTACGCCTCAGAGCTGACCCCTGAATTTTCTTAATGTAACAAAATTTGTATTCATTCCAGGAATATGCTGGCCGAATGAAAGATAAATATCTTAAGCCATTACTCTTCTGATCTCAATAATTTGTATGTTTACCTTAATATGTTTCACTCTTCCTTAATGTGCCAAGGTAGGAAAAATTCAAAATATTCCTGTTTGGACGTCTAGAGGATGAATGGATGCAATATCCCGAATGACACTACTTACGACTAAATCCTTTAGTCATATAAAAAAACAACATGAAAAAACCTTTTTGCAATAAAGTTTTTGGGGATAATTTATAATCCTTAAATCATCTTTAGTTTTTTTTTTTTTTTTTTTTTTTTAAGAACTAAGCCATGTGATATAGCTTCTCTCTTAGCCAATAAGGAACACATAGTCTAGGAATGAAATTAAATCATCGATTTATTTTCCGATTTCCCATCAGAGGATTGCAGCTGCGAACACGTTTTACCTTTTGCAATTGTTACGAAGTATAATGTTGGCCTATTATTCTGTTTTACAGGCAGGCATTTTATCTTCGTTATTCTCAGCAGTTTCTGGACGCGCTTGAGGATTGGGATGGAAATATGCAGAAAACGAAGCAACATGAAAGCAATATGGTTGTTAGTATCAAGCCCGACTTTACGATGAACTGATTGTAGTCGAGGGTCAAGTAGGAAGGGAAAGTCCAGACATGTCTTAGAGCCTTGAAACTGAGGCTCTTTTCCAGTCCCCTAATTGGCCACGTGGCTTGGGGCTGATTACTGTCAACCAGAATAGGATAGGCCTGCACCATACGTTGATGTCCTGCAGCTTAAAGGGATGAGGAAAGAAGCCTGAGAATGAGTGGCCAAATGGGTGAAAAGATAACCAGGTGAAACCAAGCAAAGGATGCCTTTTGGAAGGCGAGAGGACCAGTCTCATTACATGTTGCTGAAAGATGGGCCAAGTAAGGGAGAGCCAGCATTTAGAGGCCATTTGTGTCCTAAGAAGTGCAGGTTGGTGTCCGGGAGGAATGTTGGGATCTAGTGAGAAAAGTTGGGATCTGGTGAGAAAGTTGACCTTCACCAAGAAGAACGGTTGGTGCATTGAAACAGGAGAGAAAGTAGAGTATATGAGTTGAGATGGACAAAGGTGGGTGAAAGCGGTAGCAGTGCAAGACTGGATGTCCTCTTTAGATTGCTGCTGTTTCTTTAGCGAGGAAGAAAGGGGGAAAGGCAGGAATAAGGATGTGGAGAAGCAAGAGTTGTCTTTAGGGCAGAGGAGTAGGTGTGGCATTGTTTACTGAGAGTGGGCCAGTAAACAGACAAGGGGAATACAAATGCCAAGCAGCATTATGGGTGTACTGTAGGTTTGTGACATAGCGATCATGGACTGAAGTGGGATTAGTCAGCATGGATGTGTCAGGGCAGCTGGAGAATTGGATTGTCCAGGACTGGGATTTCACCAAGCATGTCGAAGAGACGGGTAGGGCATTTGAGCGAGGATGGAAGTGTGACGACGGGTCGTAGAATTTAAGCTGGATCTGAGGAAAGTGTGAACGTGGGGGTGGGAATATTGGTCAGGGAAAAGTGTGGCATGGGGAGGATTTTATGTCCTGACAGAGTACTGAGCTATAGTACAGAAGGGAGTGACTAACAGAGGGAGAGATTAGAGCTCGGGAAAGATGTGGAAACAGCATAGTACGGTGGTCAGGGGCCCGGACTCTGGAACCATACTGTTTGGGTTCCAACTCTGGTTTGACTGTTGCCAGCTATGGAACCAAAGACAAACGATCTCTGTGTCTCAGTTGCCTCAAGCATATTGGGGTCATAATAATCATACAGCCTAGAGTTTGTTTTAAACAGTAGATGCCTTCCTATATCATAAGATTATTTAAAATGGGTGGGAATGGTATGTGATACATGGAGCCTCTATAAGTGTTTGATATTTTTAATATCACGTAGCTGTTACACATCTTGGGAATGACAAAATCCAGTGTGTGTCTGTGTAAATGGGTAGCTGAAGTCAGGGATGTGTCGAGATCATTGGTGGAAAAACAGAAAGATCATCATCGGAGGGATCGTGTGTGTGGATTCTGAATTCATTGACAAGATTTTAAAAATATTAAGTAAATTTCATATCCAACGAACAGAAGGTAGGAGTACTGTAGTTTTTGTATATCAGTGTTGAACACCAATTATGTAAACTTGGTCAGAGTATTTGCTAGAGGAGAAGATATTTTCAGTGCTTGTTTTAACACTGTTCCCTTTAAGTAGAACCCGAGTGACTTTTTGTAAATTGTATATTTTATCCAAATTGTTCCCACACCAGTACTGTTTTTATGTTTTCAGAAAATACTTGAACTGCAACAAAAGGTTTCTCAACAGGCTATAAAGCTTCGTACCAAGAGATTGAAAGAACTGAAAACGTTGTATGGGAATTTCTTACAGGTCTGTGATATTTGGTAACATAATGTATTCTTCATATGTACACTGTTTTTATTTCAAAACTTCTACTGAAACAATTTAAGTATACCAGCATTGGTCCCATGAAAATAAAAGTGCTAATCGCTGTAGTACCTTTGATTCATAAGCGGTTGGGGGTGCCATTCACAGCAGGAAAACGTAACGTGGCGATTTTACCGAGAAACTGGTACTTTGTTGGCAATTAACTGATGGCTATGGTTGTCCACATCAGCGATGAAAGTAGAAAGTCTGTACATCGCTTCTTGAGGTGTACTTGCCTTTCTAATGCCAATGTTTCTCAAAAAGTACTCAATTTTAATTAATGAGTATCTCTTTTACCTTCAAATTTATTTTCCGAGAATGCCGCAGCCTATTTGCTTTTGGTAATATTGAAATGGGTACAAGTTGCTTCATATGTCAACTTACACTTGGAAGACAGAGCCCAGATACATAGAACAGGATGAAAGAGCCGGTTCTGACCGTTGCAAATTGAGAATTTTCTACTGTGTTGTCTGCACCTTAGCAAATTGTCCTGAGTGACACCAACCTTTCCTTCATGCATGGATACACTTTTTGGGTTCAACGGAATGCTGTGCATCCCCTTTTTCCTTTTCTTCAGAGGTATTTATTTATTTGAGAGGTAGAGTTGCAGGGAGAGAGGGAGAGACTAAGAAAGGGAGAGAGAGAGGGAGAGCTCCTCCTCCCACTGGTTCACTGCACAAATGGCCACAATGGCCAGGACTGGGCCAGGCCAAAGCTAGGAGCTCTTCCTGGTCTCCCACATGGGTGCAGGTGCCTGCGGACTTGCACCATCTTCCAAAGCTTTCCTGGGATCTCGTATGGGATGCCAGCATCACAGGTGGCGGCTTACCACCACGCCACAGCACCGGCCCCTTTTTTTTTTTGTTTGTTTGTTTGATGGTTTTGATTTTAAAACCATCTTGTTCAAATTATTTTTAAAATTGCACTCTTCTAAACTAATTGGGGTAGTTAGAAGAAACACCGTTACAAGTATTCATTCTTGCTCTGCTGTTCTGTTTCTTTGGGGAGTCAAGCTGTGGTTTTGCATGCTCTCTCTCACACATATCCAAAAAGTCTAAAATTCATTCACTAAATACTTCTAAAGTATTTACACACGTGTACACTTCTCTTTTAAAACGATTTATTATTTTGTTCAAAGCTGGTAGGGGGAGATACACACATCTGCAGAGAGACAGAGAGATAGGGAAAGAGAGAGAGAGATCTTTCAAACGGTGGTTCCCTCCCCAGGTGGCCACCGCAGCCAGATCTGGGCCAGGGTGAAGCCAGGAGCCAGGAACTCCTGTTCTCCCACATGGGTGGCAGGGGCTGAAGTAATTGGGCCACCTTCTGTTGCCTTCCCAGGTGCATTAACAGAGAGCTGGGTCAGAAGCAGAGGAGCTGGGCCTGACCCGCAGCACCACAAGGCAGGCCTCACAGACAGTTATTTTTCAATGTGTTTTCTAATAGGGAACATGTTGTTCTGATGCTCCCTGAGAGCCCTTTATTAATTGAGGTAGAGGTCTGAGAAATGAGTTTTCTAGATGCCAGTGCTGAATGTGACCACCTACGGTAGGAAGTTTACTGTCATTTCCTTGCTGGCATGTCCTTTTCCTTCTTGTCCACTTATCACCAGGGCCTCTGCAATACTACTTTCATTTCAGTTCCCACTGCTGCTGCCCTAGGGCCTCTTTATTTTTGACCTGTTCTGTTAAATTCTTTTCTGTGTTCTCTCTTCTCCAGTGCATTATGAGGTTCCTCAAACATTGCCCTTCCCTCTTCTAAAACTGTTGGTAGCTTCCCCTTCTACAATTTTAGGTCTTTAATCATTCCCCACACCCATAAATTACAGCATGGTGACAATTAGAGCTTCCTTTGCTGCGTTCTTGCTTTACTCCCACCCTTCCAGGTTGATGGCTTCCTCTGAAGCAACTCACCATCTCTCCATGCTCTCTGTGGATCTTCCGCTAGAATCCTCTCAACTCTTTCTTGTTTTACATATTAAAATCCTGTCCTTTTGTCAGCGAAGTAGGCATTCATCTCCACTTTCAGCTACACACCTAGGCAAGTCGCCCTTCACTCCTATAAGACATGCTCTGTCTCGACTCTCCTTATGTTTGCTCATGGCATGGGAATATTGAGAAGATGCCACATTCATTTTCAATCCCTCCATAACACTTGAGACATGGAGTCTTTCACAGTATGCGCTACTTCATTGTTTGTTGTATGAATAGTGAAGATTTAAATCACAGTTTTATTTTTCATAACTCAAAGTCATTATATGATGGGTCATTTCATTCCCAGGAAATTTGATTACTTTGACCATTAATCATAATAAATGGGTTTACAACTATTGTTTCTTTCTTTCTTTCTTTTTTTTTTTTTTGAATGCCTTTTATTTTTTTCTTGCCTCATTGCTCCCGATAGAGCTTCCCCTACCATGCTGAATAGCAGTGGTATAAGCAGGTATCTTGTTCCTAATCCTAGGGCGAATGTTTTTTCCCCTACTGAGTGTGATATTAGCTGTGTGTTTCACATAAATGCTGTATTAGTCAGCTTTCATTACTTTAGCCAAAATGCCTGAGAGGAGCCACACATGAAGAAAACACTTGACACCTTTGTGGGTTCACAGTCCAGGATCCGGTGGCCCCATTACCAGCTTGGCATGGGATGAGGGCAGTGGAATGCAGAACACATGCAGGGCGGGGATGGTGTGGCGAGCCAGGAGGCAGAGAGACAGGAATCACACCAACACCTCCTGTTTTGAAAGCTTATTAATGGATATCAACAGTATTGTATTTATTGCAAAGGAACATACTTTTTTTCCGTTTTCCCCATCTTGGACCTTAAACGTTCATTGTCCTATTGTTTCCAGTGAAGTATTTTGCCTCCTGTTAAATTATATCGCACATTTCTATTTTTCTTTTTTTTATTTATTTTAATTTTTTTTTCTACTTGACAGATAGAGTTAGACAGTGAGAGAGAGAAAGAGAGCCAGAGAGAAAGGTCTCCCTTTCCGTTGCTTCACCCCCCAAATGGCTGCTACGGCCAGTGTGCTGTGCCAATCCGAAACCAGGAGCCAGGTACTTCCTCCTGGTCTCCCATGGGGGTGCAGGGCCCAAGCACTTGGGCCATCCTCCAACTGCCTTCCCAGGCCTCAGCAGAGAGTTGGACTGGAATAGGAGCAACCGGGATTAGAACCCGGCGCCCATATGGGATGCCGGCGCCGCAGGCAAAGGATTAACCAAGTGAGCCATGGCGCCAGCCCCTCTATTTTTCTTTAGTGAGTGTTTTAGCCTTCATGTAAAACATTAAGAGTATTTTTTATTTCAGCATCATTTGAATGTTAAAATGTACTGCTTTATAAATGTAATTGTACATGTTTGTAATGTGAGATGAAAAGAGGTGGTTTAATACTGAACTATGCTTTTTGTTTTAGAGTATCAAGTGCCTGAAGGAGAGGCAAATAAAGCTTGCTAATGAGCAAGGTGGATTTACAAAAGAAATGGCCATACTACAAGCGGAAAACATCAGGCGAACTGTAAGTTGAATATATTGAAAATAAAAGTTGGTTTCAATACAAACATATTTTATCTGCTGAAATCTCTATGATTCTCACCTAAAACACTAAACATATGATGACTTTCTCTTTCCATGTGACAGCATCAACAAGTGGCCATTATTCTCAGTTGTTTCCAGCCCCCGTTTTGCTCTTGATACTTTGAAGAGAGAAGCTCACAACTGAAGTGATATATATACTACAGTCATGATGTGGGCTACACGAAACCAAGGAGACTCTAAAGTTCCAGCTTAAATGATCACATCTTCTTTGCTTGTCTGTTTGTTGCGTGTCAGAGGTGCTCTCTGTTAAAATCCAAGTGCAACTTCAGAGTTCTCAGTGCAGCAGCAATTCCCCTGACTCCAGGTCTATGTTAGTGCTCGTGTCTATTGCTCCCTAATGTTGTCAGTTGACGTTCAGCAATAAAGATGATTAAACTTTAAGTTTGGTCTCAGTGCATCCATATCAGTCCCCACACAAAGACAAGATAAGCATAGATAGTTACATCATCATTCCTTAAGGAAAATAACTGAAGAAGACAAACTGTGTTTTACATCCTTACTTTTGTATAAACGTATTAAGTTATAGAAGCTTCAAATGAAAATAAGCTTTCATGGGAAATCGCCATCATTCTGTGGACTCGGAGAATTTATTGAAAGCAATGTAAGTTTGTGCCCCAGAATAAATAAACTGCTAAACAATCATTTAGACAATGGAGGTGCCCGCACTGTGCCTTAGCGGGGAAAGCCTCTGCCTGCAGTGCCAGCATCCTGTAGGGTCACCGGTTCGAGTCCCCGCTGCTCCACTCTGGATCTAGCTCTCTGCTGTGGCCTGGGGAAGCAGTAGAAGATGGCCCAATCCCTGGGCCTCTGCACCCATGTGGGAGACCCAGAGGAAGCTCCCGGCTTCAAATCGGTGAAGCCCCAGCATTGCCGTCATCTGAGGAGTGATGTAGTGCATGAAGACCTCTCTCTCTCTGCCTCTGCCTCTGCCTCTCTAATTAAGAAATCTTTAAAAAAAAAAAAAAAAAGACAATGGAATAAGAAATGGAGGTATCAGTTGGAAGGCATGAGTTTGTCAATGTGCCTCTTTCAGACACCAAAATCAACATGTCATCTGATTTTCATCCACTATTAAGTGACACCTCCCCTTACCATTGTTTATTTTATTAACATGTACATACATTTAATTACATATGGCTTAAATACTGGGTGTTTATATACATTACCTACAGAGTCAGCCTTGTGTCACAGTGGGTTAAGCCTCTGCTGGTCATGCCAGCATCCTATATCAGAGTGCTGGTTTGAGGCATGGCTGTTCGGCCTCCCATCCAGCTCTCTGCTTATGAGTTTGGGAAGGCAGCTGAGGATGGCCCAAATACTTGGACCCCTGCCACCCACGTGGGAGCTCAGGATGCAGTTCCTGGCTCCTGGCTTCAGAGTGGCCTAGCCGCAAATGTTGTGGCCATTTGGGGAGGGACCCAGCAGATGGAAGATCTCTCTCTCTCTCTCTCCCATCTGTGTCGCCCTCTCTCTCTATTACTCTGCCTTTTAAATAAATGAATGAATCGTTGGGAAGTTAGTTTTTCAAGTTTAATAGTGTGGAAAGTTGAATGTCAGTATATTTACGTACATATGAAAAAATTAGTTCTTATACTTTGTCCTTTAAAATGTGATTTTTTTTAAACTTTTATTTAATGAATATAAATTTCCAAAGTACAGCTTAAAATGTGATTTTTTTAAACATATAAGACATCGAAATCTGCAATTAGAATCATTTGATTGGAGGGGTGGATAAAAATTTGACACTTTGATTTTTGCTGAACAGTCCTGGAAACATTTTGATGGGCTGGCAGGGCTTCCATTCATTTTGACAGAGCAATTTAAAAGGAAGGGGAAAGAAGTCCTGCTCCTCAGAATGGTAAACTCCCACCCCACCCCCAAAGCTCTAGTCAGTCAGTGTAGTGTCACCCACATCTCCCAATACCAGTGCCTGGTATTGGGATGGTGTCATTGTCAGGAAACGGGCAGAACAGAGAAGAGACAGCATGCCAACTCACAGTCCAAACGGATTTATTCAAGAGCTAGCCGACTGCCGGTGGGCACACAGACCGAACACCTGGGGGAGAGCAAGAATGGAGTTACAGGTTAGGTGTATAGAACAGAAGCCAGGGAAGGGCCATGAGGTGGGGGTGGGGCTGAGCTAGCTTTCCTGGGGCTTTTCAACCTTCCTCTCTGCAGGCCAGTTAGGTGGAAAGGAATCCAGAGGGTGGGGTGGAGAAGAATACAGGGCGTGAGGCTGAGCTGGTTTCTTGAAAGGAGGCCTGGGGGCTGGGGGGTGTGGGGGCGTGGGGGCGGGAGAAGGAGTCCCTGGAGGAAGTTTATCTGCTTTGAGGCAAGGAGCTAAAATGGCTGAGGCTTGTGTCAGTCCATGAGGCGTGCGGTGTCCATGCTACCGCCCTGAAGAACAGGGGCGATGGGCGGCGGCGGCAGCTCTCAGGGGCTTATTCAAGCCAGACAGACTGGTGGCTATGGGCCAGAAATTCTTTCCCTGTTTGCTGCCTGCTGGCTGAGCAAAACAGAAACTATCAAAATCTTGTATTTCTTTTTAAAGATTTATTTTACTTATTTGAAAGACAGAGTTACAGGGAGAGGTAGAGACAGAGAGAGAGGTCTTCCACCCGCTGGTTCACTCCCCAGATGCCCACAACGGCCGGAGCTGTGCAGATCCGATTCCAGGAGCCAGGAGCTTCTTCCCAGTCTCCCACACGAGTGCAGGGGCCCAAGCACTTGGGCCACCCTCTACTGTTTTCCCAGGCCACAGCAGAGAGCTGGATCGGAATAGGAGCAGTCGGGACTAGAACTGGCGCCCACATGGGATGCCGGCACTGTCGGCCAGGACTTTAACCCGCTGTGCCACAGTGCCAGCCCCAAACCTTTCTAAAATATAAAGGGCTTTTGTGACTGGGACAAAAGACAAGGAGGATGGCAGAGGTAGTTGAGGTTCCCAAGCTTTCTCCTGGGCTAGTGATTCTGGATGTAAATTTGAAGCGCGGTCAGATGGACGAATGCCAGTTTCTTAGACAAGAAAAGCATCTGGGGCCAGAGCTGTGGTGTAGCAGGCTAAGCCTCCACCTGGCGCACTGGCATCCTATCCGGGCGATGGTTGGAGTCCCGAAAGCTCCTTTTCTGATCCAGCTCTCTGCTATGGCCCAAGTGCTTGGGCCCAGGCACCCGCGTGGGAGATCACAAGAAGCTCCTGGTTCCTGGCTTCATGAGGCCCGCCAGTGGGGCTGGGAGTCTTGGGCCCCTTCAGACATACATAGAATGTCCTTCACAGCAGGCCGCCAGCTGTGGCTGGAAAGCCTGTCTCCAGGCCAACTGGCATCTCCCCCACGAATGGCTTCTTGTGCTGCCTGTGTGACCTTGCAGCTTTCAAGCACACCTTCAGGGTGAGGGCGATCTTTCACTCGGAGCTGGCAGGGAAGGGGCTGAGCATCTCAGGAGAGTTGGACGGGCTCCAAGAGACCCTGGCTACCTTGTGTGACCTTGCGGTTTTAAACCATGCCCTCAAGTTAGCTGTAATTTTCCACCCAGAGCTAACAGAGGAGGGGGCCGAACCCCTAAGGAGACAGACAGTCTCCAGGAGACCCTCGCTATCTCCTTGAGCCCCAAGCCAATCAGCATACACATGCGATACCCCCTGTCCAATGGGCATCCCCAATAGGATGACACAATGAGCCAACAGTAATGCCTTAAAGACCCGGGACACTTCCTCAAAGCCAGTGTCCCACTCGGGCACTCCACCTGGTCTCCTCTCGGCCCAGACGCTTTCTCTGTAGCCAGTCTAATAGAAGTTTCTTTTCTGTCTAATAAAAGTTTCTGCCTCTTTGCAAATTGTCTCTCGGCTTTTTATTGCTGTGCTAAGCTGAGGACAGGAACTCACGAGACTCGCTCCAGCAACCGCCCTCCCTTCCGTGACCGATGACACTTTGGATTAGCTCAGCTCAGCTCTGGCCACTGTGGCCATTGGGGAATATATCCTGGAGGAAAGACCTCTCTCCCTGTGTCTCCCTCCCTGTCTCTGTAACTCTACCTCTCAAACAACGAAATGAAATCTTAAGGAAGAAAAAGAAAGAAAGAAGAGAAAAGCATCCCTCAAGGAGGAGGGAGTTGGGGCTGGTCTTTTTTTTTTTTTTTTTTAAGATGCATTTATTTATTTGAAAGGCAGAGCTACAGAGAGAGGTCTTCCACCCCCTGTTTAACTCCCCAGGTGGCCACAATGGCTGGAACTGTGCCGATCTGAAGCCAGGAGCCAGGAGCTTCTTCTGGGTCTCCCTCACAGGTGCAGGGGCCCAAGGATTCGGGCCATCCTCTACTGCTTTCCCAGGCTATAGCAAAGAGTTACATAGGAAGTGGAGTAGCTGGGGCTCGAACCAGCGCCCATATGGCATGCCGGCACTCTAGGTGGTGGCGGCTTCACGTGCTATGCCACAGCGCCAGCCCCAGGCATAGTCTTGAGGTAAAGTGAGCTAAGCTGCTTCCTGCAACACTGGCATCTATTGGGGCACTAGTTCAAGTCCCAGCTGCTCTGCTTCAGATTCAGCTTTCTGCTAATTGGCCCGGGAAGGCAGCTTTTGATGGCCCAAGTGCTTGGGCCCCTGCCACCCACGTGGGACACCACATGGGAGTTCCAGGCTCTTGGCCTTGGCCTGACCCAGCCCCAGCTGTCGTGACCAGTTGGATAGTGACTCAGCAGATGGCAAATCTCTCTCTCTCTCTCTCTCCTTCACCCTCCTTTTCCTAACATCCACTTGTTTTTCCAATTTTTCTCTATTTCTGCTTGAAATTGCTGCTTAAGGCTGTTAAGATCAGTGAAGAACCCAGCTGAGCTGCATACCTGTATCAGGCTGGGTTGTCAGGAGAACAGGAACTGAAGCAACAGGATATATCTGTGTGAGTGAATTGGTGTCTGTGTCACACATTTCATCTATGTCTTCATGTTACTACAGATTACAGATTACTTAGGTATGAATATTTTTGTATAGAACATGATTTAATTTGGTCACATGTGGGGCATAGCAAGCAGAAATAACAGGAGAGGCTGACATCCTGACCATTGAGGAAAGAGTTGATGTTGCAGTCCTGAGTATTAAATAGATATAGCTGTGGCCAGCACTGTGGCCCAGCGGGTTAAGCTGCCTCGTGCAACACCGGCATTCCTTTTGGGCATCAGTTCAAGCCTCAGCTCCTGCGGTTCCCATCCACCTCCCTGCTAATGTGCCTTGGAAAGCATCAGATGATGGGTAGCCGTGTGTCTTTTATGGAGCCTCTGCCCGTGGATTAAGAAGATTACAAATGCTTCTTGGTGTCCTCCCCCCTTCCCAGGTGAAGCCACATGGGTAGAGTGGACTAGAGCTGTGTGCTTCCCGTCTCCCGTCTGT